AGATGTGACAGAGGAAAAACAGGAGAGCTAAAAAGATATTCCAAAGCCAGTCTATTTTATATCATTTTAAAAATTGTAAATTCATTTGGCATTTTTTGTATTAAGCTAGCAGAGGTTGAATGATTCTCGTTCTTTCTTTCTTTCCTTCTTTTTATTTTTCTTTCTTTTTTTATGGCACTGGGAACCTAACCTTGGGCCTCATGCATGGTAAGCATGAGCTCGACTACTGACCTACATCCCTAGTTTCTGATTATCTTCTTTTGCTGCAAGCGTACTTCTAAATAAATCAAGGAGAATCAGCAGTACTAAATATTGAAGGCTCTGTGAACATTAAGAATAGCAGTTAATGTTTTAGTTGGTTTTACATTGATGTGCTCAGTGGTTATAAGATATAGAATTATTCCTTGAGGTATAATTCTGAACAGGTTTCCTTGTACATGGTTATTAGATTCTAACACTGAAGTTCTCAATCAAGCATGGGAATTAGATATAATCTATGCCCTGGAGACAACAATGCATAGTTGAACACTTCAACACTGGTGTAATTATGATCAGCCTAACATCTGGAATAATTAGTTTTAAATGTTTAACTACTCTGAACTCTGACCCAAATCCTGATATGCAGTTATATATTTTCCTCTTAATAGTCAAGATAAATTAACAATTAAGACAATACTCTAAATAATTATTTTGTAAGAATTTTAAATGTTTATCAGACTATCCCAGGCAGTCTTTGATAGTCTGATCAGTTGATTTAAGAATTTAAAAAGACCACAAATTGAGAAATATATCAAACAAAATTTTCTATTTCCACTTTCACATTTGCCATAGAAAATGAATGCAAAATTCTCTGTTGGATTCTTAACCACCAAAATAATCACATGTATAGCAAATTAAACATTTTTTTTTGCTTTGGCTGACATTTCCTGTGGTCAGTAGAGGGAGTACAAGTTTTCCAACAAATCCTACATCACAGAACAGAAGTGACATCATTAGTGATGCTACAAAGGGAAAAGTCTAGGCTTGTTCATATTGGCTCATGTTTCATAAGTCTCTAGCAAAATTAAAATTTACCAACCAAGAACCATAAAGATAGAATCTGATTTTGGAGACCTTTTCTTAAGCAGTATTGTATACTAATAAGTTCTTTTAAAGTTTAAAATTTGAGGTTATGATATGTAAAATTGACTAAGGGTTAAATTTAGTAAAGGTTTGTTGGTTGGTTGTTTATACTGTTCTCACACATTCTAAATGTCATTGTAGTGTTGTTTAAAATGGTTATATATTAGTGTAACAGAAGAGATAGCGATTTATGTATGGATCAGGGTACTATCCCATAGGTTGATTACATTGTGATTAAAGATGTAATAATAAACAACATAAAAAGCATAAAAAGTCTTATAACAAAATATCTTCTACAAATATGGTAGGTAGATCCAATGAAAAGTTTAAATCTTCTGAGCATTTGAGGTAATGTGGAAGATTATCATTGTCCTTATCAAAAAGTTATTGTGTTTGAATGGTACTATTAAGATAATTCCACCAAGAAATTCAGATGGAATGGATGTTTATTTGTGATGCTGTTAGGGTTAAGTACAAAATAAAAATCATTTTAGTCCTTCTACCTTGGGTCTTAGAGCTATGAAAATAATGTTACTAAACTTTTTTTGGAGGAGTGGGGGGGACCAGGGATCGAATTCATGACCTCACACCTGCCAGGCAGGTACTTGTGCTGCTGAGCTCTATCTCTGGACCCTCATTAAGCATTTTTATAAGACTTTTAAATTCTTCTTTTTTTAAAAAAAAAATGGAACAGCTCTTTAAGTTAAGTAGATTCATTTCATAAAGGAACTAGTTGAGATGTATTGTCAAAGTTTTATAGTACATTAACACAGTAAACAAAACCAGAATTTGAAGCTCTTAACTCTTCATTTAAGGAGTTACCAACTAAAAATTAATGTTTCAGTAAACTAGGGTATACAGTTCTGAAAATATAGGAAAATTACTTAATCAGTTACCTTTTATTAACTGCCTAATTTGTGAAAAGTATTGTGGCATTAGTTTTGCTTGATTAAAAGTACAAATGTAGGGCTAGAGATTTAGCTCAGCAGCATAAGCACCTGCCTGGGAAGCATGAGGTAGTGAGTTTGATCCTCAGTACCAAAATAATAATAATAATAATTATTATTATTATTATTATATACACACACACACACACACACACACACACACCTGCCCATTATACTCATCTATTTTCTAGTGCTATAACAAAATACCTGGGGCGTGGGGACTTTATAAAGAGCAGTATTTAACTCACAGTTTTGGAGAGTGAAAACCTGGGGCCAGCGAGCTCCATCCATTTGGCTGGCTTCTGATGGGTGTCCCCTTTTCTGCACCACATTGTGGTAAATAGCATCATGGTGTAAGGGTGGGCAAGAAGAAAGGATCATGTGGTGAAACCGGAAGTCAGAAAAACTTAAGGATCAGGTTTTTTCTCTTTCTTTCTTTCTTTCTTTCTTTCTTTCTTTCTTTCTTTCGAGACACAGTCTTGCCATGTAATCCAGGTTGTCCTCAAACTTGCAGTGATCCTCTGCCTCAGCTCCTGAGCGCTGGAGTGACAGGTGTGTACCACCACACATAGCTTCTCTGTTTTATAGCAACTTAGTTTTGGAGGAACTAACTAGGGTCCCACAGGAGCTACCTAACCCCTCTTAAGGGATATAACTAGGGACCTAATTGTTCTTCACTCACTAGGCCCCAACTCCTAAAGGTTCGATCATGTCACTGCCATGACATGATCACTAAGCTTGCAAAAAATGGAGGGATATCAATCACATCCAAATCCTTGTAACACCCATGAAGCTATATTGTGTTGTAATGAGATAAATAACTGACAAGGTTGTTAAAGCAATAGTTTGTTTATAGCATTGGAAAACTATGGTTACTTTTTATAACTGACAAATAGAGCACCTCCTATGCAGCAGTATATAGTTAAAGAGAAGATTTGGGGAAAATTGGCCAGGGAAGTGCCCCATGTATATCTGAAGAGAATTGTCTCTAAGATTGAGAAGCAATACTTCTTTGAGGAGGAGACATTTCACATTCACTTAAGAAAGATTATGGGGACAGTCAGATTGAGCAGAGATAGGGTTGGAAATACTTACGGTTAAGAAGGAATCCTGAATCATATAATGAGAGATAACTGATAGGTTGGATACTATCTAATGAATGCACTAGATCCATAGCTAAGGAAACTGAGATCCACAGTGATTCAAGTTCTTTGCCCAAGATTAGTCAGTCGCATAGCTAGATGGAACTAGATCTGAATTAGATCCCTTCAAATTGAGTGGATATTAAAAAAATAGTGAAACAGATTGAGAGAAGAATCTAGAGGTTTAGAAAATGTGAAAATATACTACATGTGCATACTGCATATGTTTTGCAGAGATGTGAAATCTATTAGTCTTTAAGAGAGAAGAAAGAACTGTTGACTAAGTTTTGGTTCTTAGGTAAAGTAAATCAAAATAGAAAGACATAGCAATCCATGGCACAATTTGTAAAGTGGAGTGAGCTGCTTGATAGTATGTAGGAAAGCAACATCTAAGTAATTTATTAATAATAAATATAATAATGGTAATGACATTAACAGCAGCTACTATTTATTGAAGTAAGGCATCATATTATTTTAATCACCTGTGATCTAAAAGTATTATTGGGCCATTTTGTAAATGAAGAAACTGAATCCTCTTATGTTTGAATTCTAAAGCCAATGTATCTCAAACTTGAACAATGAATATAGATTTTCCTTCTCAAGGAAAAGTAATTTTCCCCATATCATATACAGAAATCCTTTAAATTCGTAGCTTTTATAATTTTCAAAACTAGACAAATAAGTCAAACACAAGCAAAACTTACAAAATTAATATAAAGGAGAAAGTTTTTGCTGAAATTTAAATACCAACTACAAGAATTTCTACCTGCTGTTGCATGAGATTTTTGTTTGTTTGACCTGGACATGCTTATACTACCACGTGCTTCGCTTTCCCATCACTCTTCTCTGTTCTAACTTCTTAAAAATATCCCTTTAGTTAATTCTTTGCAGTGTCATTTGACCTTCATGAGGCATAGTCAGTTACTTATTAATCTTTCTATTTCTGTTAGGTGTGGTAAAGACTGCCAGTTGATACCAGTTTAATGGTTTGATGTTCTGAAATGTCCTGGCATCATGTTTTTACTTATAAGGTGATGATTAGCTGTGTGATCTATAATATATTCATGTTAATTTTTTAAGTTATTATCTAGAAGAAAGCACAAAGTTTTAGAAATTCACAGGCTGTGCCATTCATAAACAGGCATTTGTTGCTGTCACTTAAAGAAAAATTGTATTGCACTTTCCTCAAACTGTTTTTGTAGCTCATCGTGAGATCTAGTAAAGCCCTATCACCATCACTTCAGTGCTGCCTTAACTCAGGCCACCAATCTTCTGTTTGAATTTTTGCCACAGATTTCAGCTTAATGCCCACCAAACCATTCTGTGCTTTTACAATATAAACCTTTAGGTTGCAGTTTAGGAATTCACTGTGTCCAGAAACTCTTCCCTATTGTTGTTTCTCCTTATCTTTTGCTTCCCCACCTAGCTGTTGCAGTTTACTGTCCTCTCTCCTGGGTAGCTTTGTCCTTTGCATACCTCTGTTGTAATACTTATCACTGTGTTAAAATCCTTGTATTTTGATTTCCCCAGTAGACAGTCAACTTCTTGAAGGCAAAGTCTGACTATGTGCCAAGACAGTCCTCTTATCCAAGTGTGATCTTGAATCATGGATGAATCAATAGTTTTAGAAATGAGGGACCAAAGGTAGGCAAGAGCAAAGCAGACATTTCCTTATCATTAAATTACCTAGCTAACATAGAGACATTGAGCATGGGAGCAACATAGCATTAGAGGCCCTTTTGCCTTAAAGAACTTAAAGGTAGCATCATTTTGTTTATCTTTTTGTTAGGCGCTGTGATTGTATCCACGCCCCAGGACATTGCACTAATGGATGCACACAAGGGTGCTGAAATGTTTCGCAAAGTCCATGTGCCTGTAAGTATTTACAGCTTTAACCCTGAAAAATATGAAACTTTAAGGGAAGAAGCAAGTTATTTAGTTCTATGCTGAAATTTTCATGAAATTCCTTGTTCATCTTTATGGTTACTTTAAAAACACACTTTTAGTTAGAAGTATGTCTACATATTAATGCAAAAGAATTTTGAAACATCCTTCAGGTATGAGCTTTCTTATGAAGTCCTTCCTCTTTCAAACACTTGTAACCATCACTGACCAAAAAACAGTCATTTAGGAAATTATTTAGGTAGATAAACTTGAATAGATCACTTGTGCAAAAAGAGATGAAAGCAGATTACTTCTTTTCTTCTGTCCTCTTACAGGTTAACCCATTGATAGCCCACCTTTCTTCTAAAAGGCATTGCAGAATTTTCTTCACCAAATGACAGTAAAATATTTTAAATGTAGACAAAGAATAATTAAAACCAGCTGGAGTTATAAGTAAAGTCAGTCAACAAAATGCATGCCATTAAGGAATTTAAATATGTGCTAGTGATTTGCCATTAAATTTTCTCTAACAGCCAAGGGGAAAAATATAATGTACCATGAAAGCATTATCCATTTATACAAGGTTAAGAAAGAACTAGATGCTCAAGAGAAACAGAGCTGAAACCAGAGACATGTCTTTGCTAGGTTATCAGAAAAGAGAAACTATGTATGTGTGGGGCACACTTTTACCACTTTCTTTACAGAAAGCAGCCATGTTTCCTTCTAGTGTGCTTCAGAAAACACAAGGGAATTGTGACAGGACAACTGGAGCAAGCATTTCAGTACGAGGCCAACACGAACTCTCCATGTATGTGGCTTTCTAGTGGCCTTATTCAAGGATTTTAGAGTTTAGAGACCAGAGCTTCATAAACTTCAGCCCAGGGACTAGCTTCAGGGATCTCATAATTTTCACTCACCTGCTCCACCACAGACTGTTTGTTCAGTTGTTCTTGTTTTGATATGAAAAGAATTCACAACCTAGGATACTGCTCAATGGTAGAGTGCTCGTCTAGCATGCATTAGCTCCTGACTTTGATGGGGATGGAGGGAGACAGAAAATAAGAAGAAGAAAGAATGAAAGGGCCTGTTTATTAGCAGAGGTGAAATTGTGATTACTAAGTAGTTTAAGACCTGTGTTCTGTGTTGTGATTTTTTTTTTTTTTTTTTTTTTTTTTTAGCTTGGAAAAATTTTAAAGCAATGATAACCAAGTGGCCACGTTAGACAGAAAACTTTGTCTCTGAAACACCTAATTTAAGTACTGTGACTTCATATTATAATCTCCAAGATACAAATAATGCCTACCCAGATAACTTGATTGTGTTATTTATTACATGAGGTTTTAAAATATAAATCAGAGAAAGATATGTTGGCGGGTTTTTTTTTTTTTTTTTTTTTTTTGGAGGCAGGGTCTCACTATAGTAAAAGATTTAATTCTTTCTGTTAGAAATTAGGTAACAGGAGTGGTCTATTAAGACCACTTCAAGGTCAGGATAATAGCCATTTTTTCTGCTTATAAGTGAAAGCTTAACTCCTCATTCTGCGAGGTAAGGATAGAGACATATGTCTAACTCACTCAAAAACACCATCAAACCCTTACGGGAAAACTTTTATAAGAAGCAGAAGTTTGAACTTGTTCTTATTTTACCCCTCTAGATATTATTATTTGTTTTCCAACAGGCCATGTCAACTGAAGTTGTCATTTGAGGTAGCAACAGAGGCAGGCCCTACTAGACTACTAGACTTTGTTATTTGAGAGTCTAATGATGATAGTTGCCAAATTCAGCGTGTGTACCTTTTAGTTCAGATGTTATTTTTGCTTACCTGCAGCCCTTTAATTACGAGCCAGGCAAGCTGTTACTATTCTGACAGATTTTTCTCTAGACTGTTCTTGTATCTTGAGCATAACACCACCTCCACTTTTGCCTTTTAAAAACTTATTTGCCCTCTAAGCTGCATAGATATTCAATAATGTGTGTGAGTAAATGAGTGAGAACTTTATGGCCATGAGCTCTATATGCAGTTTGACACCCATGGTAAGCTACATTGGGAAGGGGGTTTCAGTCATACGTGGGAAGTGGATCTGATGACTTCTGAGATCCCTCTGACTCTTAAAAGCCTCAAAGTCTAAATAATAATAAAATGTTTGAAATTAGTAAGTGTTCTATAAATACAAAGGAGATGTTTTGCTTTGTTTGTTTCACTTTATTCCATTTTCCATCCTTGGTTTTTAAGTCTGATTCTCTATTTCTCTCTTTTGAAGTGCATTAGTTACCATGGAAACAATGACATCATTGGCATGCATTGGTATGGACAGAGTTTAGTAACATCTGCAAGAACATTTTGAAGTTAATTTAAATGATTTCTTAAAATTCTGAACATAGATATGGAAAGGAAGAGATGAACTACAAAATTCTCCATTCTCTAAAATGATATCCTGGTAGATAGGTAGTAGACTATTTTTTTAAATAATAAATATGTTTAGTTTTAAACATCTTTAATAATGAGAGGATATATGCTGTATCATTCTCACTTATTTTTGTTACCTCCTTTTACAAGGAAGTCCCAGGCACCTTGATTTGGAATCCTGCCCCAGTCATTGAGCTTTTGTGTCACAGGAATTTCACTACCCAGCCCTTCCATTTTTCATAGTGTCATTTTTGGTTCCTGAAGTATCTTAACGTTTATTTCCTGGCTACTCTTTCACCATTTAAGGGATCACTTAATTTTAACTCCACAAACAGTTACTTATTCCACAAATATATATTTACTGATATTTAGTGCTTTGTGTAAGTACTGTGATACCCTTCCATTGATGATTTTTAAACAAAGAAGATGAAGCCTGTTTATTCAAGTATTTACTGTAAATTCCAATGAGACCAAAAACACCTTTTCCTCTGGACTATCAGGATAACTTCATGGAAGAGCTATGATTTTTCTTTTCTGTCCCTGCATTTTACATGCTGGTCCTTTGTCCACTAAGTTATTGTCAGCTTACGGAATTCAAACTCACATTTTAGCTTTCTGTTTAGGCATTTCTTCCCCTAGGAAAGCTTTCCCTGGAAAAGGTAAAATCCTTTCTGTGAACTACTTGTACATTTATCTGCTTTGGCTCAGATTCCATAGCAGATTTACCTATCAGTCTTTATAGGAGAACATGTTACGAGGTGGCAGGAAAACACACCATGAACATCCTCACAGGTGTGATAAATGCCTGGCTGTAGCCGTTAACACCAGCTGTGATCTGCTGCTCCACGTGCCCCAGGCTCCTGAGCTGCTCTCAATCACATTTTCTCTGCCCTGACCAAATTGGTCTTGCATTTCTTGGACTTTTCTCAGTACCATTTCTTTCCTCAGACCCTAAGGCATGCTGTTTTCCTCCCGGAGAGAATTTTCCCCTCATTTTACACCTGAGAAATCCTTTTTTTGTCCTTTTGTACTTAGCTTTTCTTCTGGGATACCTACCTGTCCTACAACTCAAGTACATTGTAGTTCCCTTTTGTAACTGTTGTCACATTTGTCAGTACTTTTACATTTACAGTACCATACTGTAAGTGTCACCTTCCTCTCTCACTGCCTAGAATAGGCAACTGCTCCCTAAATCCATGCTGAGTGGAGTAGGGTTTTGCTGGGCAGAACTAGGGACTAGAGAGGGTGGAAATTCAATCAGAAAAGAATCAAGAAAGAATCAAGAATTGTGTTCAGGACTCTGTAGTTGAGGTAATGTATCTGGGCAGGCCAAGGAATTTGGACTTTCTTCTTAAAAGAAGAATCCATAAAAAATGGTGACTAGGAAGCAGACATAATTAGGATGTAACTTTAAAACGTTTTAATCTAGTAAAGACAAATAAAACACACAGACTGCAGGAGAGGATGGGAGCAGTGAAAAGCATTTGCATGGTCAGAGTTATTCACATTGCAAGTTGTGACCGAACAATAGTCCAAAAATCAATACAGTGTCAGGGTAAAACTTTATTTCATAAAGACTTTTTATCAGTTATGAACATACATGTGTATTTATTTATATTGATCAAGATAAAAAAATTTTCTCTTTTTCTTATTGCTGTGAGTTCGAGGCCGGTCTGAGCTACATAGTGAGATCTAGTCTCCAAAAAAAAAGTTAGAAAAATTGGTGTAGGTAATAGGCATTCAAAGTCTTGATTTAGAATAATGGCGGGGAGCATGGATGGGTAAATTAAACATATCTGATATTTTGAAGAAAAATTTGGCAGCATTGGCAATTGATTGCGTTGGGTACTGAGTTTCAAATCAAAATAAATTCAATGGAATTTTGAGAGTTATGTTGCCATTTTAATAAACGTACCAAGAGCTGGTTTTCTGCTCAGGTCAATACACTAGAAATAAGAGGTTAGGTCTGCAGAGATCCTTGTCCTGCAACAAATATGTATCTTAAAGCCTAGTGTTGGTTACTGAACTTACTTATTTCCAAATAAATAATTCTGAAAATTTTATAATTATTTCAGCCTTGCAAATAATTACTTGTCTTATAAGAGAATTTTTTTTTTCTACTGAAAAAGAAAGAAAAAAGCTACCATAGAACTTTTTTTGTGATTATAAAGGTTAATGGTTATATTTCTTTCTTATTTTATTTTATTGAGACAGGGTCATGCTATGTAGTCCAGGCTGGCCTTGAACTCACAGTGATCTTCATGCCTTAGCCTCCCACGTGTTGGGATTATAGACATGCTTTAGCATACCCAGATCATCTCTTTTAAAGACTAATTATATTCCTTAAAAATTAGATTATCTTAGAGCCTCAAGTATGTGATTCCTATCAATGTCTTCTTGATGCTTTCTATTACCAAAGCTCCCACAAGTTACTATATGGGATACCTTCTTGGAAGTGAGGATCAGGATTGTGGCTTATTATTTTTCTGGCAAAGTAATTATTTATGGAAGTACATTATTTTTTTAACCAAAAGTTCCACATCTTCACCTTTGAATACCTGTAGCATTAGTGTAATTGTGATGC